GACAAGAATATGGGTCAATTGGATCTCTCCTACTCTGCTGGTGGAACACATCCACTATAGAAAGTTACCAGTAGTTTCTAAAGTTAAACATATGCCTACTCTATTATTCCTAGATATACCACAAAGGGGAACAATCGTACATGTCCACTGAAGCACACAAACTAGAATGGGGCTAGCATCTTTACTTATAACAGTCAACAACTAGAGTCAACCCAAAAGCAAACCAAGACTAGGCTAGATAAGTAATTTGGAATATATTTATACAATGGAATATTGCAGAGCAGTACAGAGTACAAAGAACTATAACTACATGGACAAAGCCACAGCAAGAGGAAACTACATGCAAAGGAATACATAGGTTCCTCTGGTGAACAGATAGGGAAGGGGTACAAAGGAACCATTCAGAGTATTAGAAATGCTCTCTGTTCTATATCTGGGTTTACAGTGTACGAACACAGGTACATACATTTCTTAAGACTCAGGAAACTCTATAAGAACTGTGCACTTGATAATATGTGTGACATCTAACAAAAATAAAAATAAAAAGTAAAAAAGCTTAATTAGATGATCAGTGGGAGTTATAGAATGAAACCAAGATTTTATTAGAAGAACAAGACCTGTTCCATTGAAAACAGAACCCTGAAGAGATGAACCATGAAATGTCATGAGATCAGAAGCCCCTACCAGGCAGAAGCCATTTATTTTTATTTTTTAAATTTTTTTTAAGTTGTCTGGACCTTTATTTATTTATTTATTTATTTATTTATGTGCTGCTGAGAATTGAACCCAGTGCCTCACATATGCTAGGTAAGCACTCTACCACTGAGCCACAACCCAGCCCCCAGAAGCCATTTCTAATGTAGCATGATGCACCCAATGCATAGACAAGTTTCTGAAACATAGTAGGGCCTCATTAAATATATAGTAATTAATAAACAGGGTTAATAAACCAAAAGAGATCTAATTAAGTAACACAAAGCAGTAGTGTTTTGAGATTAAGAAGTTAGTTCAAACCAGTAGGAGAAACAACAAGCAAAAATAGTGCTTTGGTAGCTTGCTCGCTCCCTCTCTCTTCATATGAATTAGTTTTTCTTTTAATGAGTTTATTCTTTGTAGTAAAATTGAGGCTCATATTCGTGGCTCCAATACAACTTGACTCAATTTTTATAAATCTGATACATTTGGGAAACCTTGTAAACTAAGTTTTAATTCAATCCGGAAATACTGGATTTGGGCCAAAAATCAATGATACCAAAATGAACAACAGTATACTGAAACTACAGTAAGGGATGGATAAAGGCCGCCTTTGTCAAACTTCTCCAACTTAGTAAAACCTGCTTAGCAGGGAGAGTGTGGAAACTTGGACAGAAAATCCTCCCATGTTGCCAGTTTCCATCTATTACAGAAAATGGTTATTTAACACAGTACAGGTGGAATAATCCCAATTAATGTTTCCCACATGCTACAACTTGGAGAAATAACATCTCATCCAATGACACAGTGTTATCCAATTGTCTGTGAAAAGCTGTTTAATGACCGGAACTATCGCATTGTCATACGGAAAAGCCACTTGTAAATATTATGTTTATTTGGTTTTCTATCTTTTCGGGCTCCAGTGTGTAAATTGTACAATCTCAGTGACCACACCTACACAATCAGCTCAGAACCGTCAGGGCCACGGTCATATATAGCAGGGAGGTAGGGTTGGCAAACAGTCTCAACCCATGGGACTCTCACTGAGAAGCACGAGCATCTCATTGCAGTGGCTGCTGAAGTGGGCCACTTCCAGGCTCAGGAGAAAAGTGAGGCTTGATGAACTAATGAAACCTGCAAGAGCAATGGGACAGCTGGGTGAGAATGGATGCCACCTCTGGTACTCCCTGGTACTGCCACAAGGACAAGACTGAAAACAGGTGGCATGATTCTAAAGAAGTTCTAGAAAGAAGACTGTGAGGGAGGAGTATATGGCCAATTGTGTATGACCTCTCAAGATTCTTTTTGTCCTTGCCAAGTCTTCTCGATTCAGGGGTCTTTGTCACCAGTCTTCAAGGGGAAATTTTCTTGTATGTGTGAGCCCAATACTGATCTGTTTAAAGAAGTCCCATTAACCGAAAACTACAAGAGGTTGATACAAAAATCAGATACCAACTTAATAAATAATGGCAAGATGTATCGATATCAAGAAGTGATATTAATCACATCCAATAGGAAGTTTCCTTGGTCCTATGATGAAAGCCTATATCATAACCAGAAAAACGGAGCCAGAGTCAGTTTGAAGGCAAAGGTGTTAGAGTTCACATAGCTTAAGGCCACCATTTCCCCCTGTTGACACCGAGCATACAGGTCAGACACCATCTCCTCTGCACAAAGCTGGAGAGATTTGACCAAGTCTGACCCTGAGGCCCCCATACAGGGCATGCATGGAACTGCTTCTTCTATTAAATCTTCTTGCACAGATGTTAACAGGACCCAGAGTTTTGTACATGCAGACATGTCTATCCTTCAGGACAACTTCTGTAGGCCCTTGGGCTCACATTTTTTATTGATTTTATTTGCTGAATTCTCAAGGTGTGACTTAGGAGCAACTCATAGTAATCATACACTATAAATTGTCCACAATTTCCTCTTCAATCCAATACTAAGTAGCTCTGGGATTGGGTCAAGTCAATTTACCTTGGAGACCAAAGCTATGTAATCTATGAAATTTTAGCATACAGTTTAGAATTTAGACAAAATAGCTAAAGGTCAATGATCTTAAGGAGAAATACTTGCATATTCCTACAATACAGGATTTGCACAGATACCACTGGAGTTGTACTCCATTTCTTCTTGGAACAATTCCTGTGAATTTTCTGTTCAGACTCTCTCTACCAGTTAAACTGCACATGAGGTAATTCACTTCTTGTCATACAATGATTCCTTAGATCAGTTTGGAAATTTCCAGCCTACAAAATATTGCTGCTTCATAGCAATTATGTAAGGTATTCATTATCATCATCCCTATTTTACAGATTACAAAAGGTCACATCAGAAGTTTTAAATGATGTGTCCAAGTTTCTAGCCCTGATAATTACAAGCTGTGGGTCAGATCTGGAGAATTCCAGCTTCAAATCCTGTGTTTTTGCCGGTAAGCAAAGGATATGCCGTTCTGTTGTGTTTGCCTTTTCACAATTTATAGGCAGTTGCGGCCCAATTTGTTTTTGTATCATTTGGCTTTAAATCAGTACAGTCAGTATGTACAGAAAACAAGATTTAAATTTATAAAGTCATAAAATAGAGCTCAGTGTACATTCCACACATGTCACCCAGACACGGGGCTGCTCCACACTTGGGAAAGATTCGCTAATGCAACAAGAAATTGCTGTACAGGCCCCTGAGTATCTGGAGTTCCGGAAGGGAAGGATGCCAACCAAACTCGACACCAGGGATCCCATACGTTCTTCCTTGTGGACTGAAACTCAACACCTGCCTTCACAATGCACAGCAGGCCTATCCTTTTCCTTATTTGGAAGGTGCTACCACAGTGTGGACTTGAAACCTGATCAGCCCTGCGGCTGGACAGGCTGTATTGTGTTTCCTGGTAACATCAGATCCAGAGACCACAGACACTCTGGGTGCCTCTGTGCTCCGTATTCTAGAAAGTTCAATTTGGGAATCTCTAACTTTGAGACCACTGTCTGAATATGCTTCACTGTACGCACTGATGACTATAAGACAGCTAACCAGGAAGTGTTGCCCAGCAGTTACTGCTGAAGCAAAAAGCAGGATAGTGAATATCTTTTCTCCTTGTTTTATCTCATCAATGTAAACTTATTAGTCAATTAATAACTACTTCTCTTCAATCAAATCTATTTCTCTTTCTTTGGAAATGGGCCTAAATTGCACATGAGAAAGAGGAATGGAGTTTAATTACTATATCTTGGGCCAGAGAAGTCAGAGATCCCATGTCCTGTTATCTTCTCCAATTTCCTCCCATCGAAGGGAAGAGAGAGATAATTTGTAACCTGTGCCCATTCAGAAATACACATGTAAAATAAAAGTTAAATGTCCAGATATCAGTGAGGTCTGAGACGGGAAAATCTTTCCATCTATTGCCAGAGCTGAGGAGGGAAGGTACAGAAATTAGTGGAGATCAAGGACAATCACTTGCATTATTTCTTTTCTATTTTTCCATTTGCTGTCATAGTAAAGAATTAAATTCCCTGCTTTTTCAGGGCTTAATATTCTCAGGAAAATATCTTATTCATATGATAGACTAATTCAGGTAAAGGCATATAAAGCACATTATAACCAAGTTTTAATTATAATTTTATTTTTCAAATTATCCTGGCCATTTAAAGTTTCATCTGATTGGCGGGCTATAAGAACTAAATCAAAATATCTGTTGCAGATACATTTAGCATAAAGCAAATATTTAAAAGGAATTTTGCATGTATTAATTGCTGATTCTTTCATATGCCAACATAATTGTTAATATGAACAACTAACATTATGCTTAGAATGATTCCATATGACTGCCTTGTCCTTTTTAATTTTTGCAACTCAGGGGATTAAACCCAAGGATTTGCACCTGCTGGGTAAGTGCTCCACCACTGAGCTACATCCTCAGCCTCACTGGCATTTTTATCATCCCATTTTATAGATGGAAACTGGGGCTTCTGTGGAGACCTCTGATTCACAAACCACTACTTGTGATGAGGGGCTAGTTTGCAGAGCAATAGTTTCCCTCTGGAAGTTATATGCAATTGTACAATTGTTTTAAGATTAATATTTTAACAGACAATCTTGAATGTGGGGGTTCTGGATTATTGACTAACTATACCCACTAACAATTCTATTTTTCTACATGTAGTAGGCATGCCGTGAATGACCAAATAAACTTCCAAAGAACAGATGAATGAAAACTGCTTGTTTCCTCAATTTAATAACTTACTAATGTCCCTGTAACACATTTGCTACCTTATTTTCATCACTGAAAAATGAAGAAGACTGAATCTTAGTTGATATTTTCAAGCAATTTCAAAAATAACTTTAATTTTATTAAAAAATTTAATTTCATATACACTATGTTGATCCACTGGATCCACACCTGTCAGATGGCAGGGTACCTGAAAACAAGAAATATATATGAAACAAGAAATATAAATGAAATAATGCAAAAATTTTTAAAAGATTAAAATCACCACAAACCCCAATATCAGAAGCAAGCATTCTCAACATTTGTTTGAACTATTTAAAGTCACACTATGTATATAAGCTCACATATAAGATCATGCCCTTCCAAGTTAAAAGAAAGGTATAATGATTACAATGTCATTAAAGTAATTCAGTGAAAGAATTTTACATGCAAAAAGGCATATTAAATGGCCAAGATAACTGAGCAGTGATTATATTTTCATCATATTATATTTCAGCTTGGATCCCAATGTCATATGCAAATTCTCTAATGAGAATTTATTGCTGAGGTCATAATAACAACACAACCATTTCCAATCTGCAGTTATTAGAATTTGGTTAGACATTATATTAAATATTAAAGGTATATTAAAGTGCTGATATTAAGTTGAAAAGGAATAAACTAATATTCTTTGGAAATGTCCAAATAAGCACAATTGACTTTTTTAGTGAGTTAAATATATCAGCATGTTAGCTGTGGAAGAAAGGTCTACACCAGGCCCCAAATCTCAGTGTTGATATTTTAGAGACAGCTTTCTTTTACAAGCAGGCTAAATCCTAGAGTAATGCCTCCCGATTCTCTCTTCTAATAGTTCTCTCATTTAACTGGGGGTGAGGGAACAACTGTTTTTATTTTTGTTAACCTTTGGTAATTTCAGTAGCATCTACACTAGACAGGGAATTTTACACAATTCTGCTAGGTGGATGCTTGTATCCATTCTATTCACTATGTGCACAAAAGCAAACAGGAGGAAGAGACCTTAAGGGTTGATGATTGTAAATATAGCGAGAGAATTGCATGTTTTGAAAGGCTCATGTGTCAGTCTAATGCATGTTGACACCTTTTTGTAGGTCCATCTAAATAGATAGAGCTTATTAGGAAGAAACTGCACATGTGAAATAGATAAAAGGAGAAACATCCTCTCCCATTACCTTAGGTGGAAATTGAACAGCCGCTTAATTCCCCTGGTTGGAGCCCAGCCCTCCATCAAATGAGCAATGTCTTTCAGAGGATGGTCAACGGCATGCAGATCACTGAGTCCACTGGATCAACACCTGACAGATGCAGGGTACATGAAAACAAAAGGCTTTTGTGGATCAGTTGGCACCATCTGTGAAATACTCCTCACAGCTGCGGTCCACATTTTGCTTTTCCCCTCTATAGAAAGTAGGAGAAAAGGGGGATACTCAGATGGTTATCATGCAACTGAGTGACAGGTCTTTCTTTTCAAGGCAGGATGGCAGGATATCCCTAGTCAGAGATGGCAGGATGGGTCACCAGGGCTGCAAGCTCTGTGACAGTGGGCAAGGGAGATCATCAAAGTTTCTTTCATCCATCTTATTTATTTGAGATTGACAGCTGTTTGATTCTGGCCCTACTGGCAGAAGAATTGACATTTCACATTTTATTGACATTTCACTATTTTATGCCATCTGGTTTCATCATGGTGGCTGATTTAAAACTCCCAAGGTGGAGCATCACTGTTCAATAAGAATAGTAGAGAACACACAGCTGCTTATTTAGTTATTTTGTCAGAATCTGAGAAGACATTTACATTTCACACTGGCCCAAATGGCTAATGACTGTTTGTTTTAGCACTTCTCAACTGTTCATCTCTATTATTTTACACATCTCAACACAACACAGAGAACTGATGAACACCAGAAGTGAATGACACACACATGGCCCTGAAGTCTTAAGAGCTGATCTTAATGTTGCTCAGACCACCAGAAATATCAGAATGGATCTTGATTTCAAAGGTTTTTATGGGGGGAAACTTCATAACCTCCTTTAGCAACCATAGTTCCATTAGGAAATCGATTGCTCCACTTCGAAAATTATACATTATCCACCAGGTACTGGATCAAAGCACTTCTAAAGCACTGATAAACAGTTTATTTTATTATTTTTGGTGGTTTTCTGCTACCTCTTGCATAGGTTACAAAGGACTTTATGGGGGTGAATTTTACATGTGAATTACATTTCAATTTAAAAAGTGACAAAGAGCATCCCTTTACATACACACACTTTATTTACCTAAGTATGTAGGCATGCAGCATCCCTTTACATACACACACTTTATTTACCTAAGTATGTAGGCATGCATGCATTTACTTCTGTGTGTTCTTGTTTGTTCAGCTTTCAAAGGAAATACAGTGCAAGTAATATAAAGAACATCTCCCAGCAATGGCAACACTTTTGCTTCTCTTCCATCTCCAAATGTAGAACCCTTGATTCTCTCCAATCATAATTCCTATCCACAGTTTTTACTTCTTATATTTAGCTTGACATTTCCCATACAATTTGCCTTTTGTTTCTATTGGCATGTACTTTCCATGACCTTAAAGAATCAATTTATTTATTTTTGCTTGATTCTGTTACTTATTTTCCATAGTATTGATAAAGCCTCTTATTGCAGATCATCTTGCTACATAAGCAAAACTCCCCCAGGTTCACTTTGAGATACTTGGTTCCCACTGTCAGGTCACCCACACCTGGTTTCATCTCCCTCCACCCAATCCATTTCTTCAGGGATCTCTGAGTACTGTCAAGCTCATTGTTCACTGTGCATACACACACATTCCTAGTTCTTTGGGGCTACATCATTACCTATGAGCTGAGCCTTTTCTTCCCATCATTTGGCAAACTGAGGAAAAACAGAAAACATTTTCTACTTTCTTTTCAGTTCTCTCTTTTCATTAAGATTGTTCCCTATCCTCAGAACCTAGTCAATGCATGTTGCTGAATTATGGGAGCCATGTTCACCAAGGTCAATTTGAATTTCAGTCCTCTATTCCAGGACCCTATCTGTCCCCACGTGACTGTCTCAGCTGCAAATGCACAAAGCATGCTTTCCATCCCATCTCACCCAGGTACATTGATAAAGCTGTTAAACAATAATAGGCCAGGGCCCAGGCACTGGGGAAACACCTGTTCTTTTACTCCAGGTATCACTGATCACTGATAGCCACTCTCAGTACAGACCTCCAGCCAATTCCCCTGTGATGCCTACAATGGGTTTCCCCCCTGGTGACTTCATGTATCTATCTGGAAACAGTTGCTTGTTCAAAGGTGTTTCATGACCAAGATACAAGCACATTTATAATGATAGATTAATATTTAATAGAATGTTAAATCATTTGCTAGGTAAAATAAAAGGACCATGAGGGTTCCTTAATATGTCTTGCATGTAAGAGAAAATAAGGCAATTAATTATTGTACAGGGGAGCAATGTTGAATAGCTCAATCTTTGCACTCTACTTATTAAAAAGTTCTAAGGCTTACTAACGAGATATTTATAACATGCACATTATGATTCACTTTTGAGGATAGTACAGAATCAATGACTTTCACAACAGACTCTTCATTTTTTCTCATGCCTGTTTTTGTTATTTAACATTACTTTCTATCTAGTAGCTTGTAATTCTGATGCAATGGAGTCTTTCTAGGTTGACACCCCACCTTAAAATAAAATTAAACACAAAAGAAACCCAAGGTTAAATAAAAAAGAGATTTGGGTCCTAAGAACAGGGATGGATGGCATAAACAGTGTCATTTAGGATTTTAGTTTTATTTTATGATTGACAAACCTGGTCAAATGAAAGCTGCCTAGAGGTATTTTACCTGTTCTTGAAGACCCCCTACCCCTGTGACTATCACAAACACTAAGTATAACTTGGCTCCTCTTTAAAGAGCTTTGTCAGAAGTTTCTCCTTCCTTCATCCTTCCTTTACCCACCCAAAATGCACCCATATTCACCACCGCAAAAATTATGTGGGCTGCTGAGTCAGAGCTGTGGCTCTCATCTCAACCTTGTCCTTTATAATTGTGAGAAGTTGGACAGCTAATTAGTTTATCAGTTTCTTCATCTGTAAAATGAAAAATATGTATTACTTTTTGGAGGGATTTAAAAGGTTTGTTAAACCAATATATTTTTAGAAATACCTGAATCTTGTCTATCTCATGGTAAACAGATTAAAAAACTTTACAAGATTGAGTTTCTACAGCTTGAATATCCTTTATCCAAAATGATTAGGACCAGAAGCATTTCAGATTTCAATTTTTTTTCCAGTATTGGAACATTTGCATATTCCAAATGAGATATCTTGAGAACAAGACCCATGTCTAAACATGAAACTCATTTAGATTTCATATACACTTTATAAACTTGAAACAAAGGTAACTTTAGATATTACTTTTAATAATTTTGTCCATTAAACAGTTTCATGGTGTGAAATTTACCACTTGTGAGGTCATATTGCTCTCAAAAATTCAGACTTTCAGGTTAGGAATGCTGAAACTGTATTATATTCTTGCACAAAATACTTTCTTCTACTTATGAGAAAACATTAGATATATCTGAATGGAGGGATATTTTGTTTTAAAAAGAACTCAGGAGCTGTCCCAGTATAGGAGAATATACTGACATAATAACTAAATGCAGTGTGGAGCCTGGATTGGATCCTAGAAGAGAAAAACAATATTAGTGAATAAACACTGCAGTTAAATTAATAGCATTGTACTGATGTTAATTTCCTGGTTTAGATAATGATGCCATTGTTATATGAGATATTAACATTAGAGGAAGCTGGGTAAGGCATACTCAAGAATCTTCTGTGCTATTTTTGCAACTTATCTGTATGTCTAAATCATTTTTAAACATTTCAAAATGTTATTATTTTTCAGTGTTATATAACATTTATTTAAAACTCAAGTGTTTTCAATTTATTTATTTAACATTTATTTAAAACTCAACAAAATAGTATGGCATATATTTGAGATATATATACACATTTGAATATAAATATTTGTCAAAAGATCTGGGAGAATATACAAATAGAATTACCTTTGGGAAGATATGGAGGTTAGGGCTAGTAGAAAGCAGAGACTATATACTTCAGAATTTTATCTGAAAATAATTATAACAAGTAATACTGTTAAAGTTAGATATTATATGTCTAATAGTTTAAAGCACACCTGATATTTTAACTCTCTTATTTATTTTCAGATACAAAATTAAATATTTCTTTCAATAACATCTTTCCAAAAATGATAGAAATTTTGTTTATATGATATAGGGCATTTAGGTGAGTGGTAGATAAATGACATAAAGATATAGACATTTTTTGGAAGGAAAAATAAATTTCTGCATGTGATTCTCTTATGAATGCTTCCACTTGTAGGAAAATGAGATATTAAACTATTTCTGAGTTTATTTTTTTAAATTTTTTTATTGTAAAAAAATTTTTAAATTCCATTTTGTTCTTTATAAAATCTGCACATTTTTAGTATAATTTCTTTTACCTCCTATTGTTCTTGGGGCCATCTTTTACATTTTTATCATTGTAAACTGATGTCATAAAAGAGGCTTTGTGGAAAGAGGAAACCAAGTATGGCTGTTGGCTTTGCCCATGTTCACGACACTGTTGATCTTGGCAAGGCAGCTGTATTGGGGTCAGAAGCCTACCTGGAAAGGGCTCTGTGGAGAAGGGGACACATGGATGGAGGAAGCAGGCATGTGCAGTGCTTTCAGGGAGGGTGGCTCTGAAAAGAAGGAGGAAAGGACCAAGACATCAGTGACAATGGGGACCTGAGAGGGCCTTGGAGATGAAATCTGTTCCAGCATATTGGTTTGTTCATTATAATAATCTAATACAAGGGAAAAATGTGATGATGGAGGTGGAGCAGAGGGAGCTGCAGGAATAAAGCCCTGGGTTGGAGAGAGGTGGGCCTTAGAAGCAGGGAGCTCTAATCCTCCTTTTTTTAAAAAAAATATTCTATTAGTTGTTGATAGACCTTTATTTATTTATGTGCTTATTTATTTATTTATTTGTATGTGGTGCTAAGAATTGAACCCAGTGCTTCACACATGGTAAGCAAGCGCTCTGCCACTGAGCCACAATGCCAGCCCCAGTTCCTCTTTAACAAGGTGAAAGGCAGGCTTATAGGCACACAGATAGTCAGCTGAGAGGTTGGGAGAGATGATGAAAAGGCTTTTTAGTTATGAATGGTCCCGAACTTTATGCTGATTTGACATGATTTTTGAACTTTATGATGGTGTAAAAGCAACACCTATGCAGTAGAAACTGTACTCTGAATTTTGAATTTTGACCTTTTCCCAGACTAGTAATGTGCCATACAAGACTCTATCAGAATGCTGAATAGTGCAGCAGCTGCAGCTCCAGTTGGCCCTGTGATCATGTGGAAAACAATCAAAGCTACAGAGCACTGTGGTGCTAATCTAGGAAGTTCAGGGGACTAGGTATAGTAAATACATTTTTTCCTTATCATATTTTTAACTTACAATGGATTGATTGTGAAATAACTCCAACCTTAGTTAAAGAGCACCTATACTTAAATCTCCACAAAAATGATGATAAAAAATAAGATAATATATTGGGAACATTAGTCATTGTTCTCCAGAGAAACAGAACAGAGTAATACACACACACACACACACACACAACACACACACACACACACACACACACAGAGCCCAGTTGTACCTCTTAACGTTGAGTTCCACATTCATGGTTTCAAAGAACTGTGGATTAAAAAAAAGACAAGTTTTCACTGAACTTCTCTCCCCCCCATTATTTCCTAAATGATTTAATTTCACAACAACCATTTATGTGTCATTTACATTGTATTAGATATTATAAATAATCTAGTGATGATTTAAGCATTACGCCCTATGCAAGTACTACACCAAGGACTTAAGTGTTTACAGATTATGATATCCTTGGGGGTCTGAGAACCAACCCCTTTCAAACACTGAGGAATGACTATGTATGTTTATGTTTTGGGGAAGGGGATTAGACACAGATTGATTTATCATGGGAATTGACTCATATATTTATAGAGGCTGAAAAATCCCATGATCTGCCTTTTGCAAACTGGAAAGCTGATGGTATAATTCTGTAGCAGTCCAAAGACTTGAAAAAGAAAACCAACAGACCAAGACCCAGAAATGCTGATGTACAATGATAGAAGAAGATGGAAGTCCCAGTTAAATAGAGAAAGTATTTGCCCTTCCTCCACTTTTGTTGTTGTTGTTTTGTTGTATTCAGACCCTTAATGGACTGGTTGATGTGCACCCATAATGGTGAGGGTATGTCTTCTTTACTCATTCTATTAATTCAAATGCTAACTTCTTCAAGAAGCACCCTTATAAACACAATCTGAAATTCTGTTTTGCCTGGTATCTGGGGATTCCTTAGTTGACCCATACAATTAACCATCATACAAATGAAGAGTGAGGAACAGAGGTGTTTGGAGGGGTTCTTGGGAGATTCAAAACTATGTAGAATGGTTTCAGGGAGGATGAGCCAGTGAGCCCACTAAGGTCATGATCAGTATCCAGGGTTCCCTTGAGGTGAGTGTTCCTAAATTTAAATAAATTCTTTCTCCCTTGTGGTCTGTTTTTCTCCAACTGCATTCAGTTTTTTGAACAGAAAAGACTTTGAGCCAGGGTCTTAATGGTAGTGATAGTGGGAGGGAAGGGTGACGGAAAATGGTATGTACCTAGGAATAATTCTCATGTACATAATGGTGACTGAAGAGAACCCAGTGGGTCAAAAGAAGGAAACTCAGAAAAAGAGGAACTATGTTACTTTCAGTTTGTTTGTTTGAGTTGCAGATACTTAGTGTACTGTTCTCTTCCTGCCCTTATTCCACTCCTGAATGCCTTTATTAATTAGATTGTATATCCTATAATCTGTGGAATCTCAGAATAGGCAAAATAGGTAAGAATGAATGACTCATCCCAGGCGTTAAGAGGATCTGTATTTTTCTTTTTTAAAATAATTGTTGTTTTTAACTAGTAATGGTTTGATGCATAAGCATGTATCCTTCTGTATCCTATTGTAAGCATTCAAAATATATAAATACACCTTTAACAAACATTTATGGAATCATATATGCTCTGGATTTTTTAAAAAAATGTTTTGTTTTCTAATTCTGTTTAAAATTTACTTTTTTGATTGATTCAAAATACATGTATATACTTTGGGCATATAATGTGATATTTTAACACATGTATACCATGTGTAATAACCAGATTATGGTAACTGGCATATTCACCACTGTCAACATTTTATTTTTCTTTGTATTGGAAACATTCAAAACCCTCTATTAGCTATTTTGATGTGTAGAATTAGTTGTTGTTGACCATAGTTAGCCTACTATGCTATAGAATATTAGAAACTATCCAACTGCTCTTCAGTACCATCTTTTCTCCATTCTCTTCTTGCTCTTACCTCTCCCAGGCTCTGGTAATCACTACTCTACTTTCTACTTCTTTGAGATCAAATTTTAGAGTTTTCATATATAAGTGATATCATATAGTATTTGTTTTCCTAATGGTAGTGATAGTGGGAGGGAAGGATGAGGGAAGAGGGTATGTGCCTAGGATTTGCAAGGGAGAATCTACATGTAGACATCCAAAAAGTCTCAACCCATCTCATTTTTTAGGAGTATGGTAGTTTGCACTGGGTTTGGGTCTTGATTCCAAGACAAAGATGGAATAGCTGGGTGGCCCACCAATTCTGCCTTCCCATTAATTAGGTTTCTACTCTTCTTATTCATGATGTTGGTCATTTGTTTCTGCCCTGAAGTACTGGATTTCTAGCTACAGCATATTTTGCATTTTGATTCTCCTCAGCTACACTTAGCTTTGCACATCCATATTCAAAATGCTTGACATGATGAGGACCTTATTCTCTTTAGCAACTTGCTTCTAGAACCGGCTCTTGTCTCCATTCATAGTTCCTGGGAATCAGACATTCAGGATGATACACCACACCCTCATCCCCAACTGTCTGCTTTCTATCACAGATAACCAGGGACTGAGCTTGCCCAAGATGAGGCAGAGCATCAGGGCAGGCAAAGCAGTCCTGATGCTTTCCTGAGGAGGAAAGCAGCTCAGGACATGACATTCAGGCAGAGAAGAGAACTCTGCTCACCAGAGATAAAATATAGACCCAAAAGCATGCCCCCAGTGATCTACCTCTTCCAATCACACCCTACCTGCCCACTTACTATCCATTTAATCCATATCAGGGAATTAATCCACTAATCAGGTCAAGGTTTTTATAATCCAATCATTCTGCCTCTGAAAATTCTTGTATTATCTAACACATGAGCTTTGGGGGAAACACCATATATCTAAACCATAACAGTTGGTCTATAACCCTAAATATCCATTAGACCTTTCTTCACTTTACTCCAGCAAGGTTAGAGATAGTTTCCAATTCATCTTCATCTCCCTCACTTACCACAATCCCCAACCCAAAATCAACATTTGTGGATACATTTTTAATTTTATTAATATTATTTTTCATTCCTAAGATTGCACCCAGGGGCACTTAACCACTGAGCCACATCCCCAGCCCTTTTTGTATTTTATTTAGAGACAGCATCTCATTGAGTTACTTAGGGCCTTGCTAAACTGCTGAGGCTGGCTTTGAACTCATGATCCTCCTGCCTCAGCCTTCTGAGCCACTGGGATTACAAGCGTGTGCCACCATACTCGGTGTGGATACATTTTTATTCAAAGAATGGAAAATGTGCTAGAAAAGAGTTCATCACATTAACATTAGGCCAGGGGATAGATTTGCTAGCTTGGACAAATGGGAGAAAAGTGGACATGGAATATCTCAGCAGCTACAGCCAAA